ATACACTAAATAAAGAGCTATTATATATATAATTACATATATATATATAATTACATATTTTTATTCCTCTAACAATCGGTTATATTACATCAAAATTGTGTTTAAAAGTAATATTACAAAATTTTAATGATTTTAAACATTCAAACCGATTTTCTAGAAAATTTTGCTTTTTTTTTTTTAGTCATGTAATTGTTGCAGCACAAACGAGCGATGTTACATTTACTATTACAATTTAATAATTTTGCAATCTGTGCATTTGTCTCATATTTGACACAATTGAGAATATGGATTATTTTAGAGAAATGTATAGGTATATCTTTATATATCTGGGAAAAGTTGGCACAAATTTTCTAGTATATTTGTACAGATTTTTAGACCATCTTTTATACAGTTTGTCCTCGTTATAGTATCGCGGGAGACTTTCTCTGTGTGCGCAGTGAAGGAAAACGGATTTAAAATGGATCTGCATTAATCCGAATAAAGAGTCTCGGCAAATACGCCGCTAACTTGCGAAGTACTTTGAGACGGAAGACTTACCTGATTAAGATTCTGAGATAATTTTGGGGGAGGTTGAGGAAAATCCCCCCTTCTCCAGAGGTGGGTTTAGGAAAAAAAAATTTTTCTCGACAGATCGGAGAATCTCGACCTGTTCCAATACCAAGGTACGGAATACCCGGTAAGCATCAAAATCTAATTGCGAAAAAAAGATGGAAAGATACGTCTGCTGTCGCGTGAAAGGAGAGGGATCACTGAATGAATTTAAAAGAGGGAAAATCCCGCGTTTATAACAAATTTTCAACGACCGAACAGATAACGTTGTTTTAATTAGACTAATTAATCTCCATTTAATCTCACAAAAAAAATACACTAATGTCTCGATGCCAAGCACATTAAAGTTGACAACGGATAAATCGGGATGTAGTCTTTCGAAAAGTGTGCTCCGAAATCTATCGTTTCAAAAAGTATAAAATCCTCAACTAAAATAAACTTATTTCTTACATTTCCTGAATCTCGTGTGTGTGCGGACCACCGCGGGAAGTGCATACAGTAAGAACACCGGAATTGTAGATTTCTTTCATCGAAGGACTCTCCGGAGACGTTCCTTATCGCGAAATATGGACCTACCACTTGCCGCATCACTCCACCGCGCGCCACTCTTGTCGTTATGGTCGCGAAAGTAAAACGGAAGTGGCTCTTATCGAAACAAAGAGCGATGTTGACCGTGTGTCTAGTCATATAGAAAGTTGCATCTAGAAGAAAGTAGAAGAAAGAAAGAAGAAAAAGAGAGAAAAAATTGTTGCGAAACTTTCCATGGAATGTCAATTCATAAAAAAAAGTTTAGAAGTAAAACTAAAAGCTGTAAGAGCTTTAAGAGCTGTAAATCTGATAAATCAAGGATATTTTTGAGAAAAATTTTAATATCTTTAATTCTTGTCTTTGTCTTAAAAAAAAGTTGATTTTTTGAAAAATTTATCAAGAAATCAGTGACTATGAAGAGACAATTATAAATGTGGGATACAGAAAGAACACTAGTTCTTCATCCTGTACACTCTTTTTCGAAAATTAAGATTCTTACTTACTTGGCAAATAATCCTTTTGACACAGACAAAGATATTATTTCTCTTTTTTCCTCTAAAAAGGACGCATTAGTGAAGGCCGCAGTTGTAAAGCTTTGCAAGATGGTACGAATGCGATTCTTTGTAATTTTACGCCTCTATAATTTCATGTCTCGTTTCTACCAATTTTTAGGACTCCATGTCCTGGGTCCTGGAACAAAGTAAAATGTCGAATATTCCATGCGCTATAAATATATATATATACATATATATATATATATACATATATATATTTACTATAAATGTATCTACTATAAATATATCTGAATTACATGTATTAAATATCTTAGTGACTGTAATTTTATTAAATCACGTTCCAATTTAATTAAACTAAAAATAATTTTAATTAAAAATGTATCCGTATATTTTATCATTTAAATTCAGTATCAATTAGGTTATTCCATTAAAAAAAATCTCTTTGCAACTAAAACAAAATTCCGTTTTATTTATTATTTGTTGCCTATAGTTGAAAGAACTTTGATAATCCCGCGGCACTCAGCGCGCGGCCCGCATTTTGTTCCGGAACACGGGACAATACCGGGTCATGTCCGGATACGAGCCGCTTCGGCAGGTAGAGCCTCGTGTTCCCGACATGTTCCGTGACAAAGAAGACGACGGCGCCGCGACACAACACCCGGTACCGTCGTCGTCTTTGTCACTTCAGCTTGCCTGCCGGCAAAAGAGGAACTAAAACGACGCGTCGCGTCGCGATCCCCTTTGTGTTCCGCAGGCATGGCGGAGGGCGGCAGGAAGCATCCGGTGTTGCTGTACATTCACGGAGAGAGCTACGACTGGGGCAGCGGAAACCCCTACGACGGTAGCGTCCTAGCCAGCTACACCGACCAAGTGATCGTCACCATGAACTACCGGCTGGGCGTGCTCGGCTTCCTGAACGCCAACGTGGCGCCGCAGACCAAGGCGAGGGTCGCGAATTATGGCCTCATGGACCAAATTGCTGCCCTGCACTGGGTTAAGGAGCACATCGCGCGCTTCGGGGGCGATCCCGAAAATGTCACCCTCATGGGCCAGGGCACCGGTGCGGCATGCGTGCATTTTCTCGCCATTAGCCCCACCGTCATTCGGGGTAAGTGATTAAAGCTGTTGAGTTAACATGAGTTCCAACATAGTTGGAATATGATGTATCAACTGAGCGAGGAAAACATTTATTTACGAGAGCTTGTAAACTGAACGCGCGCGCGCGGTGGTAAAAGTTGAAAAAAAGCGCGGCATTTCGTTGAAAGCGCGATCGCGTAGTTGTAGATTGTAAAATTCATATAGCCGTAATTAATAAATTTTTCCGAGAATAAAGCTCAGTCGAAATTTCTGAACCGCTCGCTGCCATATTGCGCCCGTAATTATTCAGAGAACTGCACGCGCCGCGGCCCACGCGCGCGTCTCATACATGATTAAAAGCGCATTCGCATTACACATAATTAAAGAGTAGCGAGTTTTGCATTTCGTTACGGCGCGTATTTCGCGTTAGTTAATCATTACGGATTAGGCCAATTGCGTATTCGCAAACAAGAAGAAGGGAGCTTTCCTCCCGTTTTCGTCTCTAAAATGAATTGTTCTCGATCGACTTACGAGGCTTTTGCAAGGAGTTTATATCGATCTATCAAATCGCGACCGAATCCGCTAACAAGATCTTCAACGACAAGGCCAAACGAACTTGTGCGCGTCGCGAGCTCGTACGTCTCTTTGTAAAAATTCCGTTACTTCCGCATGATAAAAGAAGACGAATCGAAACAAGCATAGGTTCTCAACTTTGTTCATAAATGATCGCATAATGCAAGATATTTTATTTAAACTTAAAAATTATATATTTAACGCTCAACGTAAATTTAACACAAGCGCATCCTCTCATATGATTAAAAAATTCTGCATATTATTTTAAAATAAAATTGCACAATATTATCACAAGAGAATGCAAAGATTCTTTCTGGAATCTGGATTCTTTCTCGAGAGCAGATTGCTGAAAGCCTCAAGGTTTAGCGATCGGAATACTTTGCGGGAAAAGGTGGTTCGTCACTCGTGTATGCCATCTGTCGCGAGAAAATCGCTATCTTCATAACGCATACCTCGCTCCTTGGGAAAAAGAGAGAGGGAGAGAAAAGTGTTCAAAAAATAGAGAAGTAGCTTAAGCCAGCAAGAATATCAGCCCGAAATTTCTTCCTCCAATATCCCCTTCCCCCGTCCCCTTCGCCCATCTCTCTTTTGCAGGATTCGCGATATTTTCGAGGACGAACACGCGCGCGGATCGGCGCGGTAACACATTGCCGGGGATATTGGCTGTCTCCCTTTATATCTTCATCCAGTAACAGTAGCAGCAGTAGACCATCTTCGTGGTCGTGCTCACGGTTAACGTCCAACGGTTAACAACCTCTACGCGAGCCCCCGTCGGGGACGGACACGGCGGATAAGGGGAAGCTCTCCGCCACCCCATCTTTCTTTACCTCTTTCTGTCTCCCTCTTTTCAACCCTCGTTCCGTCTCGCTCCCTCGCTCGTGATATTATGTGCGTGAAATATCGTCCCTTCCTATCCGGCGCCACCTTCCTCGTGGGCGCTATTGGAAAATACTTTCCTCTCTTATGAGAAGGCCACAGCCATCCACGCGTGTCCGAGATGGAAGTTGCCCCCTTTCCCGCTTCTTATACGTCGCGGTTGTTTTACGTTTCTTGATTTTATTAATTAAAAAAGTGCGATATATGTATCTCGAACGATGGAAATTACTTAAACGATCGGCGTAATCGAGCGGCTGAATAGGGTTCAGGTTGTTAACCTACCACCCCTGCGAAAGAATGAATGATTAAATTGACGAATTGGCTTTTGTGGAATGTTAATCGCCGTAAGCGCGGGATTTATGGAAAATGGAAAGAGCTCGATTTTGTATTCCTTTCTTTTTCTCTTTTGGCTCGATTAAGCATTAGATTTATGTCGCCATCCCTTTCGGTATTCTGACGATCAATGTCGTAATATTCTCTCGCCTAATAAAACTCGCATTGTTTGCAAATTCTATTATTTAAAATACGCTCGTTTGTTTCGCAAGAGGAAAAGCATCATTTCCTCTTATTTGTTTGCGCGCGCGGAAGGATCTCCGCGATCGGAAAGGATCCTGGCATGCCGACTTTCCTCTCGTCATCTTAGCCCCACGGATGCTTCATTCTTTCCCGTATCACTGAGGGTAGAAATGAGAATTCCATTTTTCCAAGGCGGCTGTCTTGAGACGCGACGATGTTCTGTTATTTCCTGCTTTCGCCGTCTAAATACCTCTTTCTCTCTTTCTCTTCCCTTTTCATTATCCCCTCTTCTCTCGCTTTCTCTAACTCTCTCACGGTAATTTCCTTGATAAGTTGCTTTTACTCGATAAGTTAACGAGCCAATCGAGGCATAGCAACTTTTCGAAGTAGAGAATATCTTATCTCGGTGTTTCTTTTGAAATGTATTTCCACCTCTTACAGTGCCAGAAATAGAAAAATATTGTTAAAATATTCAATAACGAAACTCAATTTTTACAAATCTTAGAAAAATGCAATTATTTAAAATAATAAATTTGAATAATAGGTAAGTTGAGGGAATATGCCATAATTAAGAGAAATATGAACAAATCAATAGTCCCAACCATTTCAGAATGTTTGCAAGATGATTAAACTTACATAGCACAGCTGAAAATAGTCACCCTAAAAATTATTGTTAAAATGTTTAATAATTTGATTACATGTTTATCCTTGTAAAACTGAGTAAAATGTCACCTGTAATAGGAAAGATGCAAGTACTGTGAGAAATATACAACACTTAATAAATAAAGTGTAATACAAGAACATTGATTTATTTTTAACAATAAACTATTGAACTATTAGATAATAATTGATAATTGAACACATTTCAGAAAAATTAATATTTTTGTTTTAGATATACAAATACAATTTTTAAAAAAACTAAAGTCTAATAAGAATACAAAACATGTACGTTAGTATTCGTGCGTAAATAAGATAATCTATTACGCTAATAGTGTTTTTTCCTGAAGTGCTATTTTACTCCAATTTTTACTTCAATAATGAAGAAAAGATGCCACCTCCGACTCTTTATACTGACGTCATAGAAAAAGTGACTATTCGGGTCATGAGACAGCCATTTCACGTGGTTTCAAAATATGCTAAATAAATCCACTTTTAATAAAAATAAATTATGCAAAATCTAAACAAAAAGAAGAGTAGAATATTATATTATAAGAAGCCTACTCATCACTTGGACTCTTTGAATTTAATACGATAAAACTGGAAAAGTTTGCACGTGTTACTCGTTGTATAAACACTCACATTATGACTAGAAAACATTATTGCCATCTATTCGACGATAATGAATGAAATATTAACAAAGTGGTATCTTCGACCCACTGGCATCTTCCCCCGACTTACCTTCCTTCATAACTTTTTTAATTACAATTGAAAGCCTCAAACCTACGCGGTAACGTACTTTGATAACGTAGTAATCGTGGATGAGAGTTGCAAAAAAAAATGTTTCGTGTAACGGAGGGAAGAAAAAAAGAAGAGGGTAATTTGATATGCAAGAAGAAAATAATTTTTATCTTAGCGCGGTGCTTATAATGCAACCACTGACGAGTTAATGGCGTCAACAACGAGAGCAGCGGAGATTGAAAATTCCTCCTTAAAGTACAAAACGGAGCGGCATCCCGGTTTTTCCTTAGGCAAATAACGTCTATGTGAGTACGCGCGGGAATGATTTTCTTCCGGGATAATTATGGGTCGTCGGCTACGTCTTTCTTCAGATTCGAGAGCGACTTTGGTTTGTCTTTCTTTTCTCGCTGAGAGTAACGACGCGACGTGGCTTCCATCCATTCGCAGCGGCGCCATTTTCGTCGGCATAATTTCCTCCTCAAATAATCCACTCGTATAATATTCAGCAGTCGCACGCCGCGCTTCTTCTAGTATCAGACGTAACGATTCGAAATGCTATTGCTTCAAGGATTTGATTATCGAATAATACACAAAAATAAGATGAGACAAAATAAATAATAATTTAAAATATAAAAGAATGATTCAGAACTTGCACCGAATTAAGTATTCTCTTATGCATGTATATATACAAATGTCTTTTAGAATATTTACAAATCAGAAAAATTATAGTGTATTAAAAAATTAGAATATTACAAATATCAAAAAAGATTTTTAAATCAAAATAATTTAAAAACCTGGCAATTTAAATATTAAAAATAACAACAAATTAAAAGATTTCAGGATTTAAAATTGTACAAATATAATTAATGTTTAATCCTATGTACACACATAATTTATGTTCGAAAAAGGCGAAATAATCACGAGATATCTTTTCTATTTGCAGGATTATTCAAGCGAGCTATACTGTTGTCGGGCAGCGCTCTTTCATCCTGGGCCGTGGTGGAGGATCCCGTATCGTACGCTCTGAAATTAGCCAAGGCTGTCAACTGCTCCGTTCCCGATGATCTTCTTAAAGATAACGAGCTTATAGTCGATTGTTTGAGGGAGAGCAGTTTGGAAGAACTGATGCAAGTCGACATTCAGCCGCCGACGTTTCTCAGCGCGTTTGGCCCAAGTGTCGACGGTGTCGTCATCAAGCCAGACTTCCAAAAGGATCTTCTGTCCTACCTCGGTCCTGAATTTCAAGGATTCGGGTAAGTATCTAAAGATTTAAAATTTTGCTCTATGATTTTGCAATTCTTAAAGAAATGCTTTTTAAAAATATTTAAAAATTATGCTTTTGTTTTCAATTCTAAAAATTGTTCAAATAAATTTATACTCTAAAATGCTCGATTTCGAGATTTTTTAATTTCTATTAATTTTATCAATGCGGAACGATAAATATGAAAAAATGCGTTCGGCGTCGCGAACTTTTAGTGCCATTTTGGATATGGTCATAGTGCAAATGGGAAAAAGGATAAAAATCTGGAGACATAGCGAGGGAAAAAAAGAGGGAAAAGGGGAAAATCCTCGGATTCCGGTAGAACGGGCTTAATAGAGTTTTATGGTAATGCGGCGTATATTTCTACATTTTCTTTCGCGGCGGCAAAGGAAATCCGTGAAGCGGCGGAAAAGTTATTTTGATGTGTGCACTTCCGGGCTCGGCTTTGCTTTCTTGCCCAGCACCGAGAGAGAGGAGTCTCGTACTTAACGTCGGCTTCCACAATAATTCCGCCTTCCGTCTTCCGTCTGACGGATCCCGGAGTTTTCTCGTTAAATGGAAAAAGGGAGCTAAACGAGCGCTGGGTTCCACCGCGAACATTAGCGTGGTTCATTAACGCGATTGTAAACGACCTGCCCCCCCAACTCTACAACGTCATTAGCATACTTACAATCGAAGATCGCACCACGCTCGTGCCGGAAACCATGGAGCGAATTCATGTTATCGTCTTTTTCACTTCCAAATTACGTTTTCCACCATGCAATCGCGAAACCGAAAAATTTTCAGATTTTGCAGATGCTAATGATTTCCGCGTGTTCTATTATTCATTATCTTATACTTCTGCAATAAAATTGTAATCTTAATTGCTGCTTTCTTTTAATTTATTTTCTTGCAATTATAATTTAGTTTATTTCTCAATTTTTTCTCCAATTTTTTAATAATAAAAATATTTACAATATTAAAAATAAATATAAAGTATAAATGTCGTTTTTTTTTTAATTACACGATAAAAGTTATAAATGTTGAACTAAAATTGTGATGGTTGACTTTAGCCCTCTGCCGAAGAAAGCTGAGCACGGCGCACCAATCACGAGCAACAACAAATATGATTTATTGTTCGGCGTGACAACGAGCGAAGCTTTATGGAAGTTTGCGGAAAAAGATGTCCAGCAAGGATTCGAGGGAGAAAGGAGAGATAGAATCATCCGCACGTATGTGAGAAACGCTTACGTCTATCACCTCACTGAAATATTTTATACGGTAAGTCGGTGTTTCCTTTATTTAACTACTCAAGTAATACAAATAGTATATGTGATACAATAGTTTTGCACAATCATAATAATTCTTTACACTAAATAAAAAATACTCTTGATTTTTACACGTTTTATCACTCTTAATAATATGATGTTACTTACGTTTTTTGGAAACGTGGATTGTATTTCAGCATCTATTTGTTTTTGTCTTTAAATCTTTTAGAAATTAAATCTTTACGTAATTAGGAAATTATAAGAATTTAGATGCTTGTGTGTTCTGATTTTTTTTAAGATCTCTAAATCTTTATTAGATAAAGACACAGAAAAAGAGAATATTCTTGATTTGAAAATATCTTTAGTTTTAACGTGGAAATCTTGAAATAAGGTTATTTTGCGTTAAACAAAAAAAAATTTGCTTGAATGAAGTTGTTTTATATAGGGGAGACCGGGGCTAAACCGTCTGTTTTTTTTTTGGTGCCGATTTTTATCAACAAAATAAATAATTGTAGTTAAATGTGGTATACCACTGTAAAGAGTGAACTTTTAGCTACAACATTTATATAGAAAATTTTTGTCTACGTCGCTTTGTTTAACCGGTATAGAGCAAAAACGAAAACGGTGGAAAAATTGAAATCTCAAAAATGCCGGGGTTAAACCGTCTACCCCCCGGGATAAATCAGTTTCAGGTTTGATCGCCCATGAAATATTAGACATCTACACTGGATTCGTGTTCAGCATGCATTACTCTTTATAATCAGCATGCATTTATAATCACGTATCTCGAGATTTGGAGAACAAATATTATTGCAGATATTACAAAATTTCTACACGCAGACAATTTTACTTTTCACCACGAAAACGCGTTTGCCCTCGTAAAAATCATAACACGGCAGGTCACCTGCCGAAACTCCGTTGGTCATATGGGTACCATAAGCAGCGTTTACAATGTTAATAACGAGTTCGCACAATATACAGGTTCCGAGATATTTGATTAGACGGATTTACCCCGTAGACGTTTTAGCCCCGGTCTTCCCTACCTAGTTTAACCAAGAAAAAAGTTGAAATAAGAAGTTAAAATTCTTATAAGAAGATTATAGATTGTTGCGTATATACGAAAAAATGAACGCGTTTATAAGTTTTGATTTGACACTTTTTCTTTCTGTGTATCTAATATTTTTCCAAGATCTAAGATCTAAACTTAGAAAATCATCTTTCGATAGAGAAATCTTCAAAAATTAGAGAATCGCGGTTTCCAAAAAGGATGAATTATACTTATTGCCAGCATATTATGTAACGTGCCGCGCATATTTGCGGCGCATATATCGTTGCATTCGCGCGGAATTTATCGCAGGACGTAATTGTTACGTTCCGCACAACGATTGAATCGCGGGCACATTGCGTTTTGTCGAAATATACAGCGATGATGCAATTCCAGTTAGCCGGTCCGCGTTATCAGTCCGCGCAGGAGCGATGCAGGTCCGACATTACTTGATGATTATAGCCAATTAAATAATTATGATCGCGACAATATATTTTTACGAGTGCCAATAGGGGATAAACGAACAGTCAAACGCATTTGCTGGTTATATTATACACAACGATAAGAGAAAACAAGCCCATGTTGTGCACAAAACTCCCAAGAGATTTTATTTTAAAATTTACTAGTTCTCTTAATTGAAAATAATTTTAAAGAAACAATTATATTTTAATGAAGTCAGTTTTTTATCTCTTTATTCTATTTTTACTTAAAATATATAGGTATTTGTCAAACAAAACCTTCGGAAATACGCTTTCAATCACCCCAACGAGAAGACAAACTAATCACTTTTAATTTTCCAGTAATTCCAGTAACCACGTATACGTAAATGAACGATTTGGAATTCCTTTTATGTGTACACAGGTGGTGAATGAGTATACCGACTGGGAACGAACAGTTCAGCATCCCGTCAACACGAAGGATGCGTGTGTACAGGCATTGAGCGACGCACAGTTCGTGGCGCCGCTCGCACAAACTGGAGATCTCTTCACCTTGAGACACACCAAGAAACCGAACAACCCTCACATCGCTCCGATCCTCGACAGCGAGGAGGAACCCATGCCCAAGACTTACTTCTACGTTTTTGACTATCAGATGAAAGACGGCGATTATCCTCAGGTAAGTAAAACTAACAAAAGTAAAATGCAGAAACTGATGGGAAAATTTCTATTTATAATTTCATTTCGTAGAAAAACTCAGTTGAAACCGATCTTCAAGTGTGATAGATCTAATAAATAAATCTTGAGACTCAGTTTTTTTTATTTATTCTTACCTCATATTTGCGTAAATTAAAAATTTTGTGCTAATTTGCGTTTTCCAAATTAATTCCACTTTTCGTGTTGCTTGAAACAATTATTGTGTTTAGTTAATCACGAAAAATTTAAAAATAATCTGAATATACACGCAGTTATTTCAATATGCACATTGGCTATTCCAATGGCGTGAAATTTTACGTTCACAGTGTTTCTCCAAACTACTACTGTATCCGTATTTGATGAGTTAACTAATTTTCGGGTAACACCGTCCAATTATGGATTTATTTCACTTTTGTCCTGTAACCTTCAATCGCGGCTCGTTAAAATGATAATGCTTCTCGCTCCTGTGAGTGCTTAGCTTCAATAATTGCAGCCCGCTGCAAGGACGCGGCAAAGCTCGCGGCAAAGGCAATTATTCGTTTGTTGGTGGTGCGCGGGGGTATTCTCATGTAACCGCATGATGACTGTTTTCCTTCTGTCTCTCTGGCATCGTCCAATTCGCTATTGCCGGTTCAAATTATCAGCGTGTTTACGTTCAATTATGCACAGATTACACCGCACGCATGGTGTTACATTATTGTTCGCCACCGCGATATGCCGTGACGCCTCCCATTATCAGTGCGGACGCAGGCTCTTTCCAGTAAAATTTGAGAATGTATATCTATCAAATTGAATTCATAAAATGTTTTATAAATCACGTAGTTCCTTGTTACGAATTATTTCTCAAAATATAAAATTAATTTAAATTTAAAAAATTTAATTGGTTAATTTAGTATAATAATATTTTTATATTGTTAAATGACGAAGTTTTTTTTGTAGGGTAACTGGGGGGAATATGCCAGTGTGGGGAATATGCCACTCGTTATATTTAACAAAGCTACGGCTATGAGCGTTGTTGTAAATACTGTGAAATTGTTAAAAATATTATATCTGACGTTTTGCCCAAGTTTTACTTACTTCCTGTCAGTATTATAGTTTTTATGGGGTAAGTACAGTATAACAAGTATGACAACGTATTTTTTAGAATTTTCTTAGTGTTTTATTGAAATTGTAATAAAAATATTCTTTTACATGTTTTTAGACAAGAATGCCCTTCTAAAGTTAAATTACTATACATGTTTGTATATGTGGCATGGCGGTAATATGCCACTTTTGCAACATTTTTGTATTTCTTTCTTTTTAATAGTAAAGAATCAAAATATTTTATTAAAACCATATATAAATAACAGATAAAAGAAGGAAAAAGAAGACCAGTATGCAAAGATACCTCAAAAAGAGAGAGAAATAGAAAAAAAAATCATATTTTCCTTAAGTATGGCATATTCCCCCGAGTTACCGTACAAAAAAAACAGACTAAAAATTACAAAACTAGTATTTTAAAATATATTACATTATTTATTTTAAAAATTGTTATATTTTATTTTTCTTGCTATATCTTTATTATAAAAATCTTCATTATAACACTTGCATTATAACACTTAAAACTAATTGACAAATATGTGGCGCTGCCAATCTTGAATTTATTTCCAAAGATTCTTTCCCACCTAATTTCGTTGCGTGAAAATTCCATCAATAATCGATCAACGAGCGGTTGATTAGCAGCGGATAACTGTGTGTGAGAGATTCCGCAGTTGCCGGAGAAATTCCGTTGTGTAAATATGTACGGAGATCGCGTCGGTAGAATAATCAGTCGAATCGCGAGACTATCGCGCGCGCTGCCTTCCGTTGTTTGTGATGCTGTCCCAACCTGGTGGCATCTAACATTCTGCCTTTATCTCGCGGGATGCGTCTCCTCCTGTTGTTTGCCATCGTAAAACAGATAGAATCCTCCTCCTCCGCCCAGCTGCATCCATAATTACTCTGAATAAACAGTTACAAGTTACCGACATTTCAAACGTTTTCATTCGTGATTATGCTGGTACATTAATTATTGATTCAGTTAGTGTCCTTTCCTACCGTGGATGTGTTTTCATCCAAAATGCGAAATTCATGAGAAATTCGCCGCTTGTTACATATTATCGACGGCAACAGTTTAATTATTTCGGAATATACATTTCACTTTGAATAAGCAACACATTCTTGCGCAGTAAAGTGGAATTAACACTTTTTTCCGGTTTGTATCATCCTCCTACCGCAATGTTTCTCTTTCTTTATCAAGATAAATTCAACTTACTGATTTATATATTAGCCATGGTTTATGTATTAGGATAAAACTCGTTTACTTAAAATAATTATTATATGCTTTATTTGTTTAATTCAAGATGATAAATAAGTTAATTGAACTAAAAAGAGAACTTGAATAGGTAAGAAAAGATCTCGTTTGTTTGTGATTAAAGGCCGGTTTTCACACGCAATGATTAGTGGCGCCAACTGACTGGCATTCATTGGCGCCAGAACCGACTAGCAAACTTACAAGTATTTACACAGTGATTGGCGTATACTATGGAAAATATTTAACATTTATTAAACACACAGTAAATGACAACAACCATATAACCTCAAATTTTGAGGTTATATGCTTTGGCCAATAACCGCCAGTAAACGCCACATTACTAGCGCCAGTTTGCATCAAGTGTTTACACTTGCATTTTTACTGGCATTAGTCGACTGGCGCGGCCTGGCGCCACCAATCATTGCGTGTGAAAACCGGCCTTAATATTCGTATAATCGAAATAAGGCAAATGCGGAATAAAAACGCAGATAGCCTTGTGTTAGCTTTATTTTTACGAGCTTTCTTTACGAGCCATATTTTATTAGCTTATTTAACACAGTAGGATTAAAAGCGTCTATTAGATTTTTTTGCTTATATTGTTTGAAATGAAAGAAAAATGGGGTAAATGGGTAATGAAGGTGAAAAATGCACATGCACGTTTTATTACACGACAATTACTTCCCTTATTTACGAACAAATGCTTTTACCAAGACGAGACACACACGCCTCACTATATAGGAAGATAATAGAAAGATTCGATTTACGACGGAACTGGCGCACGTACGTCGAATATAATAAGGATGCCATTGCGTCATTTGCAGTCGACGCGCTTCTCATGACAGCCATTACGGACCCAATCCTATTTCAATTTACACTACAATTATTTGCAGAGCTAATCGGTTTGTATTAAACGGTTTATGTGTCTGCTTCCCCTTTCTACTTTTATTTTATTAATATATGTATATATTGAATATATTGAATTTTTCCATTTGATAAATATAAATTGTGAGAAAAGAGATTATTGCGGTAGATTAAGCGTGCTGGGTTTACATTTACATAATGCTTTTTACAAACAGTTTGTGAGAAAACATCTTGTATTTAAAAATATTTTAATATTTTAATTTAAATAATTTTAAAAATTAATACACTGACTTGTCCTTTCTGATGTCAACTAGCTAATTAAGTTAAAATATTTTAACTTTACAAACTGCTAGTATCTATTACTTTTTTCTGTAAAAAAGAAACATTAGATAATTTTAAAAATTACGTTTGTTGAATTATATTGTAATTACATTTATTACATAAAATCAGTAGAAATATAAAATAAAAATTCAAAGAAACGTTTTACGTGCTCACAATTTAGTGAAAAAAACACCGCGTATATAAATCATGTTTTGTTATCTTTATTTTAATATACAACGACAAACCAAATTACCAAATTCGTAAATTTATTAACTTTTTACATTTTAATAATCCATTTTAATAACCGGAGCTGATAATATATTAATTGAATAACAATCCGACTATCTGACAACGAGAACTCGAAAAAAGAATATCAATTAAGTGGTTGTGTAACGTTCTCTGGATCGGTTCTCGTATTCATAGTCCGTTCATAATTGTATGGCGGTCGCGTACATAGGCCAAAGGACGAGAAGGTTTCGTCGATGTGCGAGAGCAGCACGAAATATATTCCAGTCATGTCACGCGCACCATATGCACGACAAGGCGCCACCACGTTTGTTCACAATACAATTTTCCTACTTTTTCACATTCGCCAGCAATACTCTGTCCTGCGGGCGAGCATCTTTTCCGTTCTCTTTACACTTATTCTTTGCACTATCCTGCAAACCGATTTTTCAATAGTTCAAGATCAAATCGTGTTAGGTCGTTGAATTCTTCGAAAAGTCTATAAGAGTTTATAAAGAGAAATTTGATTTCAGATACTTTTATCTAATAAACAAAAGTTATTTAAAATCGATTTGAAGAGAATTTCTGCCATCTCTTTGTCAATCTTTCAAAACTGAACAAATCCGCGAAATTTATTTTTTAGAAACATAATTATTCGAGGAAAGAAGGTAATGTTTTAGGTGATTAGGATATGTGGATTGCCCTATGTGATTCTTAAGACTTGAATTAAGGGATTACGTGACGTTCGATTCGCGTGCATAATAAAAATTAAGTGAAAGGCAGGAAAATAGCTCGCGTGACAAAACGCGTTTTTGCACTTTCTTGTTGCATAAAGGTAAAGAAAAAATGAAAAGATTGAAAGCGAGAGAGAAAGAAAGAGAGAGAGAGAGCCAGTTTCTCACGAATTCGTAAATATACTCTCTGGAGATAGCAACTTGTAATCTACCGGCAAAGTGAAAACAGACATTGCGGGTGGGTCGCAATCGATCCCGCCAGGACGAACGAAATTCATCCCGAGGATCGTTGGGGGATTTGCAAGGACCCATCGATACGCAGGAGGATTTGCGAAGCCGACGTTCAAAATCTATCAGCTCTCGCGCGCGCCACCTCGTCCATTCCAGGATGCGCCAGGCTCCTCGCGGATCCCTTTAAAAGGTTCTCTCTCGTGCTGTAATTCGATCGAAGACGATTTCCTTCGAGCAGAGGATTCGTTCACCGCGAGAAATGGAAAATTTTGGTAAACC